ACTTTTGCTTCTGCTTCTGCCAGATAAAAGCCACAATCAACGAACTGATTATACTGCCATGGATTTGATGTGCATAATGAACGACCTCCTCCCCCTAAATTATTTGAATTTAAGTCAGCTTTGTCACCGAAACTTTAAAAGCCTAGACTGATGGTGCTGATACAACCCTCAGTGTACAACTACAGCATGACATAATTGTTTTGGTCCATTGGTATTCTGAATGGGAAAAGGTTGGATAGGTATCATAGTTATCACCCGCTAAGGCAGGATATGTTTCTGGAACACCTGATTTCACTCTTAGATTTTGATAGAAGCCATAGTCTTAATAGTATTACTGTGTAAAATATCAATATATTTTTTCTGTTCCTCTATATGTCATGTTTTCATGTTCATTGATTATGATTCCTGATTTTCCTTTCAATACATCACATACATATATTGAGGATCATATCATAATACAAAACTCTTCATAAAAATTTCTTTTTCGTTACTACATATATTGGATATTTTCAATATCCTTGATGACAAAATGTAAGTGTCAAAATAGTTTGATTAAATTCTATCAAATGAAGTTATTCTTTCATGTTCATTGATTATGATTCCTGATTTTCCTTTCAATACATCACATACATATATTGAGGATCATATCATAATACAAAACTCTTCATAAAAATTTCTTTTTCGTTACTACATATATTGGATATTTTCAATATCCTTGATGACAAAATGTAAGTGTCAAAATAGTTTGATTAAATTCTATCAAATGAAGTTATTCTTTAAGTGTATTGCTACATTAAGGAATAGCATAGCAAATATGTTCCATATTTGACTCAAATTTAAAAAATTCCCCTGAAGCAAAAAGGAACAATTCTTAAAACATGAAAATTGTCTCCAAAACAAAAGAAACAAGAAACACTGATTACCACATTAATTTACTAAATTGTTGTTACTTACATGTCCTAGTGTAAACATCTTATCACAGTCTGATATGAAACCACAATTAGTTGAAGAAATGATATAACAAATGTCTTTTTTGGAATCAGTGCACTTTGTATAGTCACAAACTTTTAAACACTTTCAGAAAATATGATATCAAATGTCATCATAGTATCAAATATGGACACAAAACTGTGACCACTTTTCATAATTAAGTCACATAATACACTAATTAGTTACATAATTAACTCCCTTTATCAGGTAATATAAATCTCTGTTCAAGACCTTGTGATCTACTAAGCTGTTTTACAGTGATTATTATTAGTCTTATGCCATCAAAGACAAACATTTATAATACAGCTCAAATTTGGTTCACTTTCAGGTGAACTATTTTAATCCAGATTTCGTAACCTTTAATAACAAGTTCTGTTAGTGCTGACTACTAAATTAATTTTGAATGATCCGTAAATTTGATAGAAAATTAATCCACAAATTTAATTCTAGACCACTTAATAAATAAAGCACTCCCTGACTATTCATTGCAAAGTTAAAATTATCTATCATTACGTACTGCCCTTGTCTGTGCATGCCATTTCAATTAAATTTTAACAAATACATTAAAAGTTCAAGTTTTAAATATTCAAATTTTTTTTAAAACTCTTATAAGAAACCACTGACGCACATTTCTATGGAACACATGACATTCAAACAATCGCTCATGATGATAGATGAACAATTTTACATGCCTAGGACATAGTCTACCGGATTAGTATTTGCATGCACAATAAATATAGTATTATCAAAGTGTTAATCCACACAATACCAGTAAACATTACAGATAAAATCCAAATTAAAATTTCTATCTATACCATCAACTGAGGTATGACATTTAAAACTTTATCAATTTATGTTAACAAACAAACAGCAATACCAAATGTGTTGTTAATTTGTTTAACCCTGATTTTGAAAAGTCAGAAAAACCATTATAACTGCTTCAAACTTTTGAAGCAAAGAGAAGCAGCAATGAAACATTCAGAAAATTTTTATGATTTTCCCATTTAAAACTTCACTAGCTATACGTGTCTCTTTTATGAGAACTAAAATCCATCGCCCTTAATTCTATAAACGACAGGATGTGGTAAAACCTTATGCTTTATTGAAATTTGAACTTTTAATTTTATATTTCCTTTTTTTTTTCAAGTTGAGGTTCTGTTGATTTCTTATTTTTCTTGGGGTACTAATTTTCATACACATGTCATTGAAGGTGAGCCAGGAATTCAAGTATTCAAAGAAGTATAAATTACTAAAAGGCTAGTATGTAGAATTTGTCAAAACCACCAAATCAAAAATCCATGGAAATACATTTTTTCTTCAATCCTTGAAAATTGGTATCCATGAAAATGAATCCACAGTAAAACAAGGGACAAGGGTTCAGATCATTCACATCACATATAAATGTTGTTATTATGTCATGTTAAAACTAAGGTTGCAACTCCCTTGGAAAAGTTGACCATAGACAATTTTTTGCTGTTATTTTCAGGCCCATTTGATTTTTGTGCTCTTAGACTAAAATGTTTTATAGTTTTATTTTTCCAAACTTATGTTTTTGATTTATTTACCCCTAATTTTGAAAAGTAAGACAAACCATTATAACTGCTTTAGTCTTATTACCTATATGTGAAACTGTTTCTGTTATAACATTTATCAGGTATGCTAGTGGGTACAGTTAAACACACAAAATTTGTTTTTCTATACATCTTGATGTAAAAATACCACATAAGATTTTGGTCAAATTTTCAAATAGATTTGAACCGAAATAAAGAGTGCATCCAGTACCAACTAAATAATTTATTATATTTGTTCTCTATATAACCAGTAGCTCTTTTGTGAATATTGATTTGGTACTTGCATGGGCTCAATATTTCCCACTCACAAATATGTATCAAAATTTTTGTTATTTTAAGTAGGAAAATTGAATTTGTACTTTCGACAATATGATCTATCTGAACTTTGCATTTTTATCAATTATTTATACATAAAAATTCACTGATTTTTAATTCTTCAAGAATACAAACTCATTTGTGATTTTTAGGTGTTAAACAACTATAAAGCATGCTATCTATAGCAAATGTTAGATTTCTGTAATTCATCCCTTGCTCTGAAGCTTGTCTGCCTGTATATGCATTTTCCAAAAATCTAATGTTGAAATAACTTGGGATAAAGGAAGCAATTAGAAATAAATGAACATATACAGCAAATTCTGCAATTTTTCAATTTACAAAGGGACATAACTCAAGAATGTTTTATAACATTTGGTAGAGGCAATTTTTAAATTTTAAAAGGACATAACTCGAGAATGGTGAAAGCGACGCCATCCAAATTCAACCATGATCTGTGTTTGGTGATAATAAGTATCGTGTATAAGTTTTATAACATTTGGTTGAGGTAAGCTAAAGCTAGAGAACGGACACTAATTTTGGGACGTACATACGGACAGACAGACGTACAGACTGACAAGGGTAAAACTTATGCCCCCTCCGCCACAGAGTCATAAAAATGTCAATATAAAAATAAGGAGATGTGGTATAATTGCCTATGAGACAACTATCCGCCAGAGTTCAAATGAAGTGGATGTAAGGAATTATAGGCCATCGTATGGATGTGTCAAGCCAGGAACTTTGTTAGTTTAAATGCTTTGTTATATCTTAGTGATTTAATCCTTTCAAATATTTGATGTAGATGGCAGATCTCAAGTAATCACTGTTAGATTCAAAACTTGTCTAGACTTAAGGCAATAGACGGTATAGATATTTATTATTGTTGAAGATAATATGTTGTTCTCTTGATATATTTTGTGTTTTGTTTTGTTGGGTTTCTGTTTATTGACAAATAATTCCCTTAGAATTGATATTTTTTTTTTTTTTTAATAAATTATCAGAATATCTTTTTCCATTGTTTGCTTTTTGCCTATTCTAATATTTTTATTTTTTCTAGTATAAAAGAACCCTAAATATATTCAAATAAATGCCAAAAATAGGAATCAGGGAATCGTTAAGGAAATATGAGTAGTTTAAAGACTATAAAATACATAAATGAATTCAGAATTCAGTTTACAGAATTTTATTAAATATTAAATTGAAATTGTTCTGATTTAGATCCTTGACATATCTTATTAACCAACCATTAAAATTTTCAGTTTATTTTTTTCATATAAACAAAATAACAAGAAATTTAAAAAAACAAAAGCAAAAAATCTTACCATTGCAACATTTTGTTATCTGGAACTCCTAATAATTATTGGCAGTAGTCTCCCTTTATTTCATAGCAATAAATTCACAAGAATATGGTCATTCATTGAAGTTTTAAGAAGTACTTACACTAAATAAAAGTTATTACCTGTCTGTTAAGATAAGCTTCTCGATATGGTCTCCTTTGTTCTCGGCTCCCCATATCACAAAATTTACTTTAAATATCACTCACTATAGAAAATGTCAACATGTTATCAAGTCACCTATCAACAAACCAGATGGTTGTCAAAAAAAACATAACAAAACTTCAATATAAACTAAATCAAGTGGTCATCTTTTTCCAAAAAACAGTTTATGTTGTTTTCATTGATTGAAATGTTAGTAAAACATCCCACACAAACATGACACAGAAGTCAGGAAAATTACGATATTGATCTGCTGAACGATCAATATTTACAAACGGAGATATTTAAATTTGTTTATAAATGCAATACACAAAAGAAATCTTCGTCATTTCAATCTTTTTATTCAGATTCTATAAAGGTATCAAATAAATTGTTTCCTTAACGTGTATTGGTAAGAAGGAAAATAAATAGCAAGCGATTTAAAAATTAAATACCAGTCTCATTGAAATTTGAATAAAAACATTCCAGAGTGTTTTACTATACAATTTTCATACTTAGTCTCTAGGGTCCATCATTATACAATTACATGTAATATGCAATAGATTCTATCGTGTAAAAAAGAAATCATTTTAAACTGACTGATTAATGATTCTATTATTTTTATTAATTACTTCTTCTAATGACATCAGTAATGAATCAAGTATAAATAATAATGCTAACTTTACAGCTACTCAGAGATTCTGTACCTGGGTGGAGTTGCATGAGTAATATAAATAATTTATCTAGGAAAATTGGAAAGTCATAATTCCATAGATAAGCTGAATTCATCTATTACAAGACAATTCTAATTGATTAATTGTTGTTTGTTTAACATCCAGTGGAAACTATTGGATCCATATTCAGGACAAGAAAAAATTAATAATCAATCCAATATTTAGGTTCTACAAAGTTGGCCCACCCTGATGAAGGGCAGGAAGCCGAAGTGCCCCGGAGAAAACCACGACCTTCGATAGGAAAAATTGGGCACTGGAAACGATTGTATGTTGGAATAAAGTAATCCGTCTCAACTAACTAGATATGGTACCCTATAAACCAGCTTCCCTGAATTAGCATTAAAAGTTTTATAATATACAACTCTTACAAGATTACTAAACCATGAATCAAAAGAGCAAAAACACCACCAGATTGTGTTTCTAACAGTAATGACTATATTTACTTAAGACATGATGCTTTAAATGAAGCTACATACTTGACATCATCATCCCAAATACTGATTGTAACAAATAGTGAGATGTATAAACTTTCAGTATCAGTTCATATTTTCTTTGTGGTACTAGGAGCTGTCTTGAACTTACAGTGTGTTGAGAGTTCTTGCTCCATGCTGAAGGCCTCATTGTGACATTGAGATGAGACGATGAACAGAAATAAAAGTGCTGTGCTTTTGCTTCTGATTTTGTGTCATGAGTTTAGCTTTGAAGGCTTCACACTCTAGAAATTTGTACAGCCTAGCTTGGATTCAATTTAGTGGGTTCAGGTGCAAAGAGTTAAAAAAAAAAGTTAATATACAAGATGACAACACAAAGTGATAAATAAAACTCAATCTGACCCTCCTAAAAGCTATAACAAGTAAGTACCAATTCAACTTAAGTCACAAGTAACAGAAAATGATGAAGATGAATATTATCTTATAAATTTTATTTTAATGTTCAGGTATAGGATAAGAACATCCTCGAGGAGGTTCTTCCCATTCGCCTGTTATATCTTTTTTCTTTGGTTGTTCTACTCTATCATACTGTTCCCTCAAATCAATGAGTAAATATCTACTCATAAGACCACATTCATCTGATGTGAAAATAAATTCACCATTAAATCTGGATTTTGGAATCGTCAGAAATTTGCCATTTGGTTTAGTATTTCCTTCAACAAAACAGAATTGATTAATTAACATTTGTATCAATTTAAAGTGGTCCAATTCATCAAAGAAATCTTGACCCTGTCCATTCACTTTTCTCCAAAATGTTGCATTAAAATGATCGTAAATTATAAAATCTACGTGACTGTAATTTTTATACATGTTATAATTATCTCCCTTTATATAGTTTTGTTTGACACCTAATACATTGCTGACATGATGGAGAATGTCTTGTAACGACCAGCACATCATTCTCTTCAAAAGTATCAATGATTCATACATGTATTCAACTATCATGACCAAAGAAAATTGTTTTTCTATATGATTGATATACTCTTTTATCGCAGTCAAATTTTTAGAAATATCCCTCCTCCTTTCAGGAAAACCAAGTGGCATGCCCAAACAATGTCCTTGTAGGTTCTGAACTAGAGAAAACTTATCTGGAATACAACCTCGAAATTTATGTTTTATAGGATCTGAGAATACTTTATCGTATTTTTCAATGTTTCTAACATATTCTGTGAAATTATTTGCAGGCACATCAGCTATATCCCCTATGTGAAAATACTGAAACGAAGACACAAGCCTACTCCATGGTTCCCTTATTGATGTGAAGTACACTGTATCATTAGGCATTAAAGCTGACATAACACTGTAGTTATATACAGAATGCTCAAAGATTATATTATATGGCCATTTTGATGGCCTATAGTCACTTTTCTCTATGATGTATGGCCAGCCAAGATAAATATTATTTTTAACAGGTAAGACAAAGTTAAGCACACGTTTGTATCCAAATCTCCTAATGATGGTTGCCATTGTCTCCGTAGCACATTTCATACACTTTATAAATACAAAATTCCTTTTTTCAGTACAAACTTCCATTCTATATTCAGATCCAACAGAATAATGGTTTTCCGTTGAAATATAATCCTTTTTGGTGAAATTTGCAACATAAACATACAACAGAAGTTGAAAACCAGCACCTATAAGCAATGCCTTCATAAAAAGTATAAAACTTTTGTTAAACTTTCGGCCTGTGATGATCATTTTTTCAGATACATCAGCTATATCTGTAATCTATGACTAGGCCAAATATATAAGATATTTGAAATCAATCACATATCATCTGATTATCATTGTTATAATAACAAACTGAACTAACAACAGACGTGGGACATGTCTTGCACAATGAATGCTCCAAAACATAATTTTCATAGTCTTTCAAAAACAAAAGAGAACTTTCTGACTTGGCAACATATTGCTCTTTAACTTGTCAAATATTATTTACTGAAAGATATTTACTACAAATTATAACTATTCTTTCTATAAAAGATACTATGAATTCTAATGGAAGAATCCATAAAGATTATCTGTTTTCACATTATATCAACAAATTCATGACCCCATTTGTTTAAGTAAGCATAAAAATATTATAGTGTTTAATCTTCTTTGATATTTGGTAGTAAATATATCACATTTGTACATTAATAACTTAATTTATTTGGTTGCATCACAATTCATCAGTAATAATAAGATTTTTGTGTTGAATCTTTTATTTACTATGATATTGTATATAGTTGTATCTACATTGCACAAGTTATTGGTCCAAGGTTAAACATATTGGCCTAAAGAAGAGAGAAATTTTGCAGAACAGATCAAACCACTCCATCAGTTATTGATCCCCATGTCTTCCTTAAAAAAAAGCCCAATCTCCTAACTTAATCAAAACATGCCTTTTCTATGCTGTACTAATTGTGTAAGAATTGTGTTGTGCCATATACAAGAAGTTTTTAATGGCAAACTATTAAACTAATATTACCATACTGGTATCACTATTAGAAACTATAAAAAAAAATAGCCCTTTTTATATCGCGATGACCGTGAGGGCATTCTGATGTATTGCTATCGCCTAGATTTCCATTACGTAACTTTCGTTTTGGGTTTGTAACCGATCTATAAACATGATAAATATGCGGATTTTAACGAGTGCAAACTAACATTCCTTATCGTTTGTTATAAATACATCTCTTCAATGAATACTGATAAAAATATTTTTGTTTCGAAAATAAATTAATAATATGAAAATTTTTTGTCGTTAGATATATATATATAAGTAAAAAATCTATGATAATATCTATGCACACGTACCTAAAAATTGTGTTAAAGCATGCCGAAGAATATCTCAAGAACGTTTTGTGACAATCCCGGCAAGGACCGTTAACTCTGTTATTGTTTTTGCGGGAAAATATGAATGCCTACTCATATCCAATCTTTTAGAAAAATTGAATTTTTACAGAAGAGTGTCCACCATGCACTTGCATTGCACTATTATAAGAATAGTAGAATAGAATGATATACAAATGAATGAAAATTATATATACGTGTAACTGTTATATTAATATAATATATAACAACAAACCAGTGTATACTGATTTGTATCACTACAATATAATAGTTATTACGGTGAGGTTGAATTTCCTGTCATTTATTCATCATCCACGCACGAACTTGTCTCCGAAAAAATATATCTCTGTACATTTATCTCAGTTTCCGATGTTCAGTATTTCAGTACTTCGATTTTATAAAGACATGTCGATCAATGACTGAAACTTCACCACAAAAATTCCCTTTGCCTCAGGCAAATATGTTTAGCCTTGGACAAATAACTAGTCCAATACATGTAAACAAGATTTGCACACATTGTCGAGATAAGCATTCCCCCACTGGTAATTCTAAGAATTAGAAAACCAGATGTAGGTGTTTACAGACCTGAAAAGAGCTCACACTTTACAACTCATCACTGCAAAGCTGCTGACTAAATATGAAGTCACTCTGTTCAGTAGTAGTTGAGAATAGTGAGACAGAAATATTTGTTGGACAAACAAAAGGACAAACTAATAGACAAGTTGAATGCAAATTAGCACCAACTTATAGTGTGGTGTTGTAATTATCATATCAAAATAAAAATTTCATACTGGAACTTTACAAAATCATTCATGTATTAAACCCACTCTCAATTGACCACAGACAAAATATATATTGAAATTTCACTCTCTTAATAGTTGAATATTGCTCTGAAGTCTCACAGCCATTTTGGAAATTACTACGTCCATGTTTCTATGGTCCCAGTAAGTCCCCAAAATAGACTTTCAGATGCAAGAGCAATCTCAGACTATTTAAAATAAATAATATGAGCATATTCAATAAGTTTAGCTCTTTCTCTTAAAAACAAAATTCATATTTTAACATTAAAATCTAACAAAAATTAATGTTTTGTTTTAAAAAGGATAATACAAAATGTAGTTGGTAAATATTGATATTTGTTTATATTTCAGCTAGAAAATATAGGTTACCATGAAATGTCTTATCATTAATGTTTTCCTTTTTAAATATGATTCACTTTATCGTGTTCTTCTTATTTTAATCCATTTGTTAATCAAAGAAATTTTACATCATAAGACATCTATTCTACTATAATTTTCTCTGAAAATCACTGAAAACATCACAGAATAACAAGCACTACTAAAAATAATAATTTGGAAATGCACAAATGATTTATATGTTGTTTACATATCTGGTATAGTGAGCCCAACAGTTGCATTTTCTTTCAATGTGAATTACTTGACAAAGTTTTCCTTGCAGGATTGAAAGAATCCAGACAAAGGGAAGTAACTCTAATCTGGTAAAAAAGGAAAACATAGTATGATAGTCATATGCCTTTTTTTCTGTTTGTGTAATTTTGTTTTCTGTTTTTTTATTTATTGTTATTTAGATAAAAAATTATCAAGACTAAGATAAAGAACATGTATCTGACACTGTCACATATCAACGGTCTAATATTTTGTAATATATATCTAATACCACTTGTGACATGACAAATATCTGCAATTCACCTCATTGTGCAATTTTTGTTGATTATCTATTAAGTGTAATAATATGTTCTGTTTACAACATTTTTTATATAAATTTGACAGCATTAGTGCAAATAAAGAAATAAACTTAAAACTTGTGAAAAGCTATATGAAATTGTATTGCCTTTACTTGACTGACAAAAAATAAACCAAATGGAAAGACAATAACATGACAAAGATACATTTACACATTTGTTTCACAAATATATAAAGATGAGAAGATGTGGTAAGACTTTCTAAATTTGTATTTGATACATATGCTATTTTTTGGTGTTGTACTTTTACTTCTACTTGACATGACACACAACAGAGCACAAGAAAAAGCACAGTATATAGCATAGCAAATGTTAAAGATTATCATAGACATGTTTATTTAGTTCAAAGGGTTGAGATGTAAAAAAAAAATTCTATCTGTAACAATTTGTCTGAAAATACTGCAACATAAATTTAAACAATATTAGATAACCTAATTTTTTGTCCATATAAAGACAATGTTTAATAGTTAATTTAATACAAAACAAAGAACTAACAAGAAACTGGAAAATATATTTTATTTAAACTTAGCAAGTTGGTCTCCTGAGTTCTGGACGGGGATCAACTACATGTTTATTATCTCCATCAAATTTTTCCTTTATCTTTTCTAACCATGATATATTCATTGATTCACAATCTTTTCTAGAAATTTTTAAATCTGAATTGAATTGTGAATGTGAGATTTCTAAGTTCTTGTGTAAATGTTTATCTAAGCCCCAGCAGTAATGATTGACTTGATTTTGTATATGAGAAAACTGTTTCACCTCATCATAGAAGTCAGGACCTTCTGCAGCAATCTTTTTCCATAATGTTTCATTAAAGTGCTCATATATCATATAATCTATGGATGCCCATTTCTTATGTTTTTCTTTATAACGATTGCTTAATGAAAAATAGTAAGTTCCTCGGTTAACAAACTTGTATATCAGGTCTTTTAATTGCCATTTCATCAGTCTTTTAAATAGTACTAAAGATTCATGAAAATATTCAACAATCATAACTAAAGAAAATTCTCTGTCTAAGTTTCTGACATATTCTCTCACAGCCGGTGAATTATTAGTTATGTCTTGTCTGCCATACGGGAACCCTAAAGGCATCCCTAAACAATGAGCAATTAAGTTTTTTGTCACAGAAAATCCATCAGGAATACAATAACAATAATGGGCTGCTTCATGACTTTTATAAATTGAGTCGTAATATTTGATATTTTCTAGGTATTCAGTGAGTGGATGTTTAGCAAATATTCCAGCTATCTGCTGTATTTTAAAGTAACTAAATGCTGATTTAAAATGTTTCAGTGGCTCACGTATAATAGAAACATAATGTGTTGTCTCAGGAGGGAAGTACCGATTCATTATTGTTTTGTTATATATTGCATGATCAATTAAACCATTGAATGGTCGATCAGAAAGGCGGTAATCCAAATCATCCATTAAGTAAGGCCATGCAAGATATAGTCGTTTCTTTTGAGGGAGCATTATATTGAGATTATTATCATAGCTGTATTTACGGAGTATTCTCACCACAGTTTCGGTAGCACATTTCATTGTCTTAATAAATAGAAAATTGCATTTCTGATTTGGACATTGTTTATTTGTTGAACTGGTAGTTTTCGGCCAGTTTGATTCTTTAATCATATCAAGGTTCTGTAAATGTTTTCCAGAATTCATTAATTCATGTAGTTTTTCCTTTTCATCAGCCATCATTTCATTCTGCACATATGCATTTGAATCGAATGCTTCAACTCGTGGTTTCTGTGGTACAAAATCTGAATCCAATTTATCCTCATAGCTTTTATGATATCCAAAATATAAATTCTTCAAACACAGCATTCCTATTAGAAATATAATCATAGGTGGAAGCACTCTGAGTAAAATATATCGCTTTCTCACCATTTCTTCAATGGATAACCATCCAAAGTTTATCACCAAATTTTTTGATAAGAAAGACCAAATAAATGTTTTTAATATTTCATGTCAATCCATCGATTCTACCCTGCAGGCCAGTATGTTCTTCCTGATTTAATAATCCCAGGTGTAATAACCTCTTCATGTCCTTATTTTCTTCCATCACAATTTCTCACAGGTACATACAGTAATACTATACATTTTTATCTTTATTAATCTCCTCTATTAATGACTATTCTTTCACAACATGAAGTATTTGCTTTAGATTGAGTATATACATCAGTTGTGTCCTACACGATTTACCTGGTCAGAGATAAGCAGGTGATTACAAACAATACACCTGTAATAGTCTCTTGTTTTACACCATAATTTAAACTCATTGAATAATGAATAAATTCATTGTATTATGAATGGATACAATTACACAATAGCTGAGTAATACAGGAAACTGGTCATGTGTAACTGTTCATATCTATGAGGAAATGTGTGGACTTAAAAATCCACAACAATGACACATAGCCAACCAGATCAATGTTATCTATTAATTCATTTTACTTTATCCTGCTCAACCAATCCAATATTTATTCATCAATTTATAAGAGAAAGTACACTTTTCCTTTCTCATTATTGTAAAATTTACATTCTAAATATTGAACCCGGGTATCTTGTTTATTGATTTTTTTAATTGAAAGTCACCTTAAACTTAATGAGAAAAAATACACCTTTTTTGTCTCATAACTGTTAATGTCTACATTCTAAATATCAAACTCGGATATCTTGTTTATTGATTTTTGAAAGTCATCATAAACTGTTTCATTTTGATTTTAACATAAGGATTACCATAAATTAGCTAACTTATAACTGAGCTGTTTATATATTCATAGATTGAACTTATTTGTGAAATTAAAAGCAGGCTGCTAACAGACAGGATATAAAAATAGTCAAAGCAACTCTTTCAACAAGTATTTCATAAATTTAAATTCACCAAACTCAGATGTTTTATCCTCTTAAATTTCACTTAGGTGAAAGCACATATTTGTAAGTATCCCACTAATCGTACAGGATTTCCTTTAAATATCAATTTATACAAAACAGCATACATTAGGATGTTTTTGATTTCTTAAAAATCCCAGAGCTGTAGTATTTTTCTGTATAATCAAATAAATAAGTGCATTTCTTTTAAAAGGCTTCTAGGACTATTATTTGAAACATAAAGCTGATAATTATTTTAAAAAATCAATTACTTTGACAATTCCCTTCAAAAGCAAAATAATGATTTAACTTGTTAGCTAAGCAACAAATGTCAGCAAAGCAAGTGCACAATGTACTCACTTGTTTCTTCAATATATGTTTGATAATGAATAACACACGTCGTTTAGATTTCTTCTGCGAAATAACAAGCATCATAAATGTCAAAGAGATTTTTTTGGGGGGGGGGGGGGCTAAAAATAAGTGACAGCATATACTTTGTCTTTATAAACAAGCAGTCACAGAGATTACAAGAAATAACAAAATATCTGTTTGGGCAGCTACCACTAAACAATACATTAAATCACTGTATAAATAAGTTAGAATCAAATGAAAAGTACAGTCAAACCTGTTATATACAACACCTATAAGGTCAACGACAGAAAATGATTTGCCTAAATATGATTGAATATAAATTCTTAAAATAGATAAACTTTTGTATAGAATGAACATGAAATGTATCTAAAATGTTCTCAGATGAATCTTAAATTCCTCTTTACTAACAATAGTTCATTGATTTAAAAAAAAAGATAAATTTAAGTTTTAATGTAGTACATTTATGTAAAATAAAAATTGATCACCAATTTGTTTTTTTTTTTGGTGCATTCATCATTTTAAACAATTGGGAATCCTTCCAGCAAAAAAAACAGCTGTGCCATGAGTGCATGATATGCCCGTCGCTTTTTCAAAGAATAAAGTTCCATAACTCCTCAATGTCATATCAGAAATTTATAAAAAAACTAAAGGGAGAGGTTATTTTAATACATATAAAATAGTCACCAAAGTTTCATGAAAACTGCTCAAAGCACTTTTAAGTTGTTGTCCGAAAAAAGGAAAATCCCCCTTTTTTATGAATAAAATCCCATCACTCCAAATGGTAATATCAAAAATTTATAAATATAGAAAGGGAGCTTACGTCAATAGAGATGAACAATATCCGCCTTTTTTAATGAATAAAACCCCATAACTCGGAAATATAAAATCTAAAATCTATAAAAATCGAAAAGGAGCTCACGTCAATAGATATAAACAATTCACCAAAGTTTCATGTAAATAGGTTAAACCGTTTTTGAGTAATTGTCTGACATGTTGACTACGGACAGACGGACAGACAGACTGATAGACAACGGTATACCATAATACATCCCGTAAAATGTCATTTTCATGATATCTGTGGATTGGGTATTGAAATATATGAGGATGTTAAAACAATTTTTTAATAATAACTTTTTCACTGATTTTACGTTGATTCTTTACAAAAATGCATCTATTTTACAAATATTCATTCAATAACATTTTTGAATAAAGAGCTGCGCCATGAGCCCATGATACGACTGTTGCTTTTTCAACGAATAAAGTTCCATTACTCCTCAATGTCATATCAGAATTTTATAAAAAAACTAAAGGGAGCTTAATTTAATATATATAAACCAGTCACCAAAGTTTTTTTTTCATGAAAACTGCTCAAAACATTTTTGAGTGATTGTCCTACAGCTGGAAAATTTATAAAAATTGAAAAGGAGCTATGTCAATAGATTTAAACAATTCACCAAAGTTTCATGAAAATTGGTTAAAGTGTTTTTGATGTTGACGACGAACGGACAGACAGACAATTGTATACCATAATACGTCCTGTAAATTGGCGAATAAAAATAAGAGAAAAATTCATCCTTCCTTTTAATTTTGATTACAGGGTAAGTTAAAATGTCATATTTGAATCCAGAGTCTTATAGAATTCTATGACATCATACATTTAATGTATCTTGCCCTCAGGACAAATAATTTCTGACAACACAAAATTGTAAAGATGGAAATTCACATACTAGACTGATGAAATATAGGCTACATTCAAATTCTCTAAAGTTCATTAAAAATTTGCATGTTAAGCCAATATCTACATAGTAATCAAGCAGTGGTGAAATTCAAATTTTCCATTTCCACTAATACAAATGAACAATGATATCAGTAAAGTTTGAACACAGCAAATCAAAATATTTCTTTACCAGATGTCTTGCTTTTGTGCACTGATATTATTTATTCAGGTCCATATAAATATATTAGGACAACATAAAGAATTCTTACTTGTTTTTTCGGCTTGATGGGTGGCTTGCCTTTCACAATTTTGTTTGCTTTAATTTCTATGTCTGGAATATTCAGCTCTTCAAAATCTTCTTTACTCAGGGGTTTGGACTTTCTTCCATATTTCTTAATGCTAATTTCATTTTGTAAATCTAGACATTTAAAAAATTATTTTAATTAATTATTTTCACAAGTTTTACTCTTAAGCTCAGTATATAACATATGAATGGTAACTGAACAATTAAAAGGCATACTTCAAATAGTCAATTATTGTTAACAATGCTCAATTTGTACCAATTTTAAAAAAACTTTGAAATATGTTTCCTTCAAAGTATTAATTCAAAATTACAATATATCTAATTGAGAAAGAAATTGAATTATAAAAAGACATAATTCATGAAAAACAACATTTGTGTGGTAGCATTTTTAACAACACTGACAACACAAATCTTTTTTTCAAATGTTAAAAATTAAACTCATCCAGCATTTCAAAGTAAGAAATATACTCATTACCATTATATTAAAATTTGGAATGATTTAGACAAGACATTAGACATCACCAGCAACATTTCAGAAAACTTCATCAATTAAAGGGACACCCCACTAATAACTGCTAATCCAATTTAGACATAAAAAGTAGTGCTAAAATAATGCAGATCAGTGAATTATTTGATTAAGAGCAATTCATTACCCAATTTCTTGTCCACCCATCTTATTACTTGTAAAGAAGGAACAAAAAAGTAACCACTGTTTACAGATCACTTAAATTTTGTGTGGGGCACATCACATAAGTACTCAGGAAATTTAAAACTGTATTGGTTGTGAAGTGGTCACACTTTGGAGACAATATTTCAAACTGAAAATATATTCTTTATTTTGTAACAAATTGATGAAAGTTAAAAATTGCAAATAATTTGGGTATTTTATCATTCATTAGAGTGACTCTGTAAGGTGTATCATTCATCAAAATGAAAGTGAAGATCCTCAAGTTAAAACTCTAGTTATCCCTAATTCTAGTGACACTGACATTACATTACCAAAACTTCTGATTTAGACAGATGAAAGGACACATGCACAATCCAATGTCTAATAAATCAAAAAGTATTTTAGATATCATTACTATAAAGAGTTGTGGTAAATTTCAATGAGACAGCAACTCGGCAATACCTTTTTTTTAAAAAAACATGTGTTAAAATTACCTGGTTGGTTGCCATCAGACCCATCAACATCGTTATCTTCACTAATGACCTTTTCCTCTATAACTTCACCCTCATCATCTCCATCATCTTCATCTTCACCATCAGTTTCTTCCTCACTTTCTTCTTCGCTATCATCATCATCTACATTTAGACTATTACTGTCATTTTTATCCTCATCCTCACAATCCTTTTTTTCTCCTTCAACTACACGTTCTATGGTAGACTGACATAAGATTTCTACAAAATTTTCTTTAAATGCCTCAAAGGTAACCTGTAAAAACATCAGAACCAAATTTTATTATAATTAATCTTAAAATACTATCATGTTTTTCTTTACATTCTGTTGGTAATTTTCATACAAAACTTAGGGAAAATAACTCAAAAAGGCAGATGATCCTCCTTTAAAAACTATCAAATCAGTAATTATTACATGAAAATTGGCTTGTCCACAAATTTGCAATGCATATTTTATAATAAAACAAATAGAATCATTTAAAATTAAATATTTAAGCAGTTATGACATAACAATTCAATTTAGAAGTTGAAATGCCTGCTGTTTTCAGTTTAAGAAACATTTATAATACCTTTATCACTTAGAAGATTTTAAAGCAGTTCTTGAATGTTTTTATTAAAGAGTGTCATAAGAGACAAACAAATAGACTCTTAGTTCAAAAGGTATCTCTGCTGGGGAATAAATTTGTGAATATTTCTTTAAAAACCTGACCATAGGTGATTGTAATGTGTTAAACACTCGACTACAATATCATTAATTTGTTAACAAGTAGTACATTGTACCTTGTGCCACACATGCTCAAATGTGGACAGGTTTTCAGTTAAATCAGAAAAAAATATTGCCTTTATGGGAATGTTTAATCAAATTAAAATTTTCTATATGAATTCAAGCAAAAACATACTTTTACTCCATCTTGAAACAAGTAAAGAAAGAAAAACTTGTGCACT